CCTTCAATGGAGCTTTGATCCCTCTGAGAGTGTTCTTAAGCTTGTAACAAAAACTAGGTGAGGAAAGAACACTTTTTTTTGAGTTGGAGTCTCACTCTGTTGCCCAGGCTGGAGTGCAGTGGCACACTCACAGTGACCCCAGTGTCAACCTGCTGGGTTCAGGGGATATCCTTTTGCCCCAGTCTTCCAAGTAGCTGGAACTACGCCTGGCTAATATTTTATTTATTGTAGAGATGAGGTCTTGCCAAGTTGCTTATGCTGGGTTTTTTTTTTTTTTAAGTCAGATTTGTTCCACTCAGAGAATGAGAGATGTGGACACTGCCCTGAGCTACTATTGTATCAATGTGTCTAGAACTGTGACCTTTTTCTGTCACAGTTGCCACACACCGTTTGAGAATACTTATTGGCCAGCATGCTCAGAAACTTGCTGCTTTTTTGGGAAGCTTCAGCTTCCTCATCCAGTTGAGGAACTAGATGACCAGACAGACACGTTTTTTTCTCTCTCTCTGTGTATTCTCTTAGCTATCATGAAACTTCAATCTCTAGTTTGGGGACGTGAAAAGAACAAAAAACCAAAAGTAAACAAACACACAAAAAAACAATAATGTTCCACACTGAGAAGTATTGCTTTTATAATTCAAAATTGTCTCAAATGAAGACAAAGAAAACATGGCCATATTTAAAGAGAGAGGAAGCAAGTAAGAAAGTAGACTTTCAAAAATTTTTAGAAGATACAAAAATTACTCATTTTGTTTGTTTCAACAACCTTTTTCTGTCATCCAAATAAATTAAGGGAAACATCAAAATATCTAGAATTTGGCAGCTCTCAGCCTTTCAGAATGACATTTAAAAATCCAAAACTCTAAACATAAAATAGAAGTTTAGGAGTAAATACTTCCCCTTTCTTCTTTTTTTTCTTCTTAAAGATTTGGCCTTGTTTCTAACTTCACTCTCAAAGATGTTGTATCTCCAGAAACTAAACTGAAGCTAAGTCATCTGTTGAGTAGAAGTCAAGTAAAAGGGTTAAGTACATGAGATTTGGAGTTGGCCCCAGGGGGATGCAATACCAATTGTTGTTATTTTGTGTCCTTTGCCTCAGAGATATGGCAATAGTTCACACCTTAACTTTGTTGTGTGAATTAAATTCACAGCACATACTGGGGAAGAAGAGATGGTCAGCTGCTGAAAATGAAAATGTTTATAAATTCCATCTTTTCCTCCTCCTTTAATTTCTTCCTATCCTTCCTCCCTATCTTCTTTCTCCTCTCCCTGGTCTTCTCCAGGGACACCTAGAGGAACCTGGGATCAGGTTCCTCAGTTCACCACTATAAACTAGCGATTTCCAAACTGTTTTGTTTGTCAACTATGTACAGTTATTGCTATAATTAGAATAAAATTTCTCCTTCTCATTTACACTCCTTCCTTCTCACTGCTGCTCCAGCCCAAAATTTCTAGATTGTCTTTAACTAGTTCCTCACTTCAGGTTTGTTTATTAAACTCCAATCTACATTGGGTCTCCAGGGCAGTGGACATTTGTGTAGCTCCTATTGTCCATTTAATTTGTACCCCCATCTCCATCACTGAAGTTGTTGATGTAGTGAAGAAATAGCTTCTTATGTGATGGAGTGTCCTCTTGAGCCTAACATACCTGCCCTGCATACATACCTCTCCCTTGTCTCTCTCCATGGCATCCCCAATTTTTTCTTGTCCCTTTATAACCCATTTGCTTCTCACCAAAATCCTTTTTCTTGTGGCTTTGTCTGTAAGTCTCAGTTAGGCTCACTCTATTGCTGGATGAGTCTGGGAAGTATGGAGGGAGGGTAGGGACTTCTGATTCAGCAGACAGGTGAGTGACAGAGGCCCTCAAAGTGAATCCTCTAAGAGCCAGCCTGTTTCCATTGTGAAAACTTCTGCTTGCAATTTTCTGTACCTGTTAATATTAAAATAGTTTCTATCCATTTGTTTTCTTGAGAGAACACAAAAGTCCCATTTTACTTTCTTACATTTGGAAAATGTCAGCCTCCAGGAAAGGGAAGAAAACTGACCTTGCTCCAGTTACAATAGCATAGAAGCTTGTTCTTTCTATGTGTGGAGTTTCTCATGTGTGCTGTCCTCAACCTCAGCTTGGGGGATAGCAGCTGTAGATTATCAGCATGGACTTTTGAGGACAAGAAAAAAGGAATCCGTCAGAGTCTTTCACACCACACCATGCCTGTCTGGAAAGTGAAAGATTCAATACTTTGAGGATTTTTTGCATCCTGATATCAATCTGCTAACACTGGACTTGCAAATACCCGTGGTAACAATTGGCTAGGACTCAACAGTGACTGGTTCTTTAGATAGAGTGCATCATCCCAGTTCTCTAGAGTTCCTATCACTCCCTATTGTATGAGGTCAAGCTTGTGTTGCTTGTTTACATTACCTACTAAGTCCTTTGTATGCATTTAGGTTTGCAAGATGTAGGATGATGAGATATATAAATCCTTTATCAAATTTCGTATCTCATTAGCTTTCTAACTTTCAGATCTAGAGCCAATTACACTTACCCCAGTGGATGTCTATTTCTAACTATAGCATATTAAATTCTGATATCAAATTCATCCTATTACTTCTCATCTCACTTCCTAGGATGGAGAGACTAAGGACTCACTAGGTCACTGGTGGGAATGTAGTGAGGATTCTATAAAAAATACCACTTGTTTTTTTTGCTGAGATGTCCCAGCCTGTTTGATTTTTTCCTGTGGTCACAGGACTTTGCTGCTTTAGAAGAATGCCGTGGGCAATGCCCAGGGTCTGTCCTCCTAAGTGTCACTGTGCCATCTGCTCTGAGGCTTGCCATTCCCTACGTCACTATCACTGAATAGAGCACACGTCTCTACTGCCATGATGCCTGCTGTCCTTCCCCTTCCCAATCTCTGAAGAAATGACTATCTCTCCTTTTACCCTTAAAGACACTTTCACTTCCCTGAGTACATGTGGGACAGTCAGCTTGATCTCTGAGTATGTTTCTGAGGTTTTTCCTTCTTTCCAATTAAAATCTCTGAAGTGCAAAAACAGATATACAAATAAATGTGAATGACCTAGTTGGGTGTTTGAAACAAAAAGAGAAGAAATGCCAGAACATGCACAAACTGATATATTGATCAGAAGATTAGTTGTTCTGGGACTCATCATCTCAAGATTATTCTTTGGTTCTAGACCACATGGTAGTGATGCTATGGTGTGGAAGATGGGAGAATGTTTGCACATTTGGCTAGTGCTCTGCCACAGATTTCAAGGGACAAGAATGTGTTACATTGTTTTGCTGCTGTCTGCTTTAGGTAATCAGAGTGTGAACTGACTGTGCCTATTGACTTCCTTGAGAATTTTCCCCATTAAACTGGTTTTACACTGGGAGGCAGAATTCATGGCTCAGAGAAATGTTCTGCATGAAAAAGGTCATATGATATTTTAGAATTAGAACAATTTTCAGAAGACAAAATGATATCTAAATGGTCCACTTTAAGATATTATAGTTGTTGGAATATGTCTGGGGGAATTTTCCCAACCCCAACCGACCAGCTCTTTTGGGAGAAAATATCTGGATATTTTCCTTTTTCAAAGTAAGTAGTACACCATAGACTCCACCTCTGGTAGCATTTCCTTTTGACCTTCTCACCTTCCCTCAACCTACATGGGCTCGTGTGTGCATGCACGTTGCAGACACACACACACACACACACACACACACACACACACACACACACATTCCACTATTACCACCACCATCAATTATGTTAGCATGCTCATGCTCATGTATTTGAGCTTACATGTAGTCTCTTTGCTGAACAGAAATGCTGAAACTCAGCATGAGTAATGTCAAGCACAAATGTAGGTATTTCACTTCCTAGATTTAAAAATTTACAACTTAAGCTGAGTGAGAACTGGGTCTTACCCATCCTAGAGGTGGGTCTTTTCAGTGGTACTTACTTTTTGGCACTGTATCTCTTTTAATCTGTGACTTTATTGGGCAATTGTGGTCTGATAGGCTACCTCTCTCAGGTTAGCAGACTCTATAGAGGTGCTGGTGAACATTCCAAAGTCACGAACAGTGAAAAACTAGAAGTTTGTCACTAAATGATTCACCGGGTTCAGGAGAGTTCCATGTCCTTGAGCAGTGTCACATAACCTGAGGGCAGGGACCTCATGTGTTCACCAAGATCAGCCAAACTCTGGCAGACAGCAAGTTTTCAGCATAGGTTTCTTGGAAAAAGGGTTCTCTCAAATGGATGAGCATGGGACAAGGCTGGTTCCTCACTTTTAATGAGGGCATAGAAATAACTTTCAAAGATTGGAAGTGAGTCCAGTCTGGGTAAAAATTCCAGTTCTTTCACGATTACTGGCAAGGTACCTATTCTTTCAGAGCTTGAGAGTCTTCTACTTACAGGAACAGCGTAAAGATTAAATAAAGAACAAGTAAGTAAAGTGATTAGTACAATTTCTTTAACAGATATATGCTGAATTTTAAATAAATGACCAACTAATATTTATCATGTTTCCAGGATTGAAGCCAGGTTTTTAAGTTACTCTTAACATAAAATATCTAAAGTAAGAGAACATTTACTAATTTCTGTGAGGTTTTAGATATGGTATAGCATTTGTGAAATATATGCAGAGTCTTCTAGAATGACAGTAATGAAAAACAACAATAGCATCTACTATGTATAGACTTTCCATGTATCTTGTACGGTGCTAAAGATTTCTTATGGGGTTATTTCATAATTACACTATCTCATGAGAAAAGTAAATCACGTCTTTGTTCTATGAATAAGAAAACTGAGAGTCAGACGGGTTATCCAGCTACACAATCATATGCCTAATAAGTGACATATCAGAGCTCACATTCAAGTTTGCCTAAAGTAGGTCCCAAGTTCCCAAGCTTTTCATCGTTTTTCACAAAAGCCATTTTTCTATAATATAACTCATGTTGACGGTTTAAAAAATAAATATTCTGAATGCAATGAAACCACACACATGATCTTTTTATTTTTATTTATATTTTAGTTCAAGAATTACACACTAGCCAACATTATTATATATTTACATGCTAAAACTGGCTGCAATAAGTTTAAATTCAAGAAAATAATCATGTGCTATTCATTTATAATCCTCATTTTTTTCACTATCTCATTTATCCCAGAGATTTAGAAGTCTTGTTTTTAGAAAGACATGAAAATAGATGCAATGGTATCCACTTGTGTTTTGCATTTTCTAGCCGTTGGAAAATGTGCATTATGTGCATATTAAGAAAGGCTACAAGGTAATTAGTAAGGCTGATAATCACTACATTGTGAAGAAACTAGAATACCACTTTTTATAAAAGGACAATTTAGAAGTGCGCAGGGACAATATTCATAACAAAACTATTTAAACACCCATGCAAAGAAAAATTGAAAATGTTATGGAATTTAAATTATAGGCAACTTTGTTTAAATTAATTATGTCTAAAATGACCATTGTTGAACTCACATTATTGAACCAAAAAAACAAAAGAAAGAAAGAAAAGAAAAAGATACAAGCTGATGGAACTGTCAACTTGCTTCAAATGGTGCAAGGACACATGCATGAGCATCAGATTAGAGGACATGTGACAAAGAGTGGCATTTGGCTTGGAACTCAAAGGACATGAAGTTTTGTTTATCATAATTTTGGATCATATTTGTTTATCACAAAAACATTTCTCAAAGAAAATTAAAATTTGATGTCAGAATTTTGCATATATCTACAGAAATGTTCTACTTTCAGTTTCCAATAAAATTGATAGCTATTTAAGAGTGCTGTTTTGTTTTTGTTTTTCAGTGATGTCTTGCACTATCTTAATTAGCATTCTGTTCACTCCTTACTATTTTTACATTGTTCCTAGTGCATTTGGAAAATGTTTTTTAAACCTTTGGTGTGAAGCAGTGTCCTTTTTCCCTTCATTTTCTTTTCGGTTTTCTCTTTTTTGTTTTTTAAAAATAATTCTGGAGTCTTTGGTTGAAAGGAACAATACTATCTAAGGATAAAATGCAATTACTAAAAAAAAGTCTTCTAGTATGTATTATGTGTAATAACTTTTTGGAGCTGGTATGAATAAACATATTTATTTTCTGTACTGTCATCTATACAAACTTTTACTCTTTGAAAATTTGAGATTTAAGTCGCAAACTTTGGTTTCTTGGACTCCAACATATTAAAAAAACTCTATCAAGTTATCAATGACCATTTTTGCTTTTTATGAATGTCATTTCTAAGGCTATCTCTTGGTTGTTACATTGGCTCAGAAACACTACAGTGTTTCCCATAGAGGAGAAGAGAGGGGTAGTGAGTGAGTGGGCAGGCATGTGAAAGAGTATGTGTGTTTGAGTATGTATGCTTGTGTGACTGTGTGTGACTGTGTATGTGTGTGAGACAGCAAATTGAAACCCTTCTGTCTGGGATTCCCAAACTATGTATGCAGAAGGGTGTTTAAATTACTCTGCTGGGGCACTGTAGTAACCGTACTCAGTAAAAAATAAATAAAAATTAAGAAAAAAATTAAACAATTATCTGTATCTATTGACTATTCATTTACAGCATGTTTAATTATTTACATATTATAACACATCAACTTAAGCCATAAACAGAATTAGCACATTGCCTTACCATAAAATACAAATTAGAAGTTAAAAATATTTAAGAAATCTGTTTAAATATTTACACACGCTCAGTGAAAGTTATGGTTGCTCACATTACATGTACTCTGGACACTTAGCAAAATGGCATGATTGCTACAGTTTTGAGTATTTTGCCTTAACCAACATGGCGGGGTTTATTTCCTTTTCTTTTCTCCCCCTAAGAGGAATTTTTATCATTTTCCATTTCCTTAAGACTTTTTTGTTTTTAATCACTGATGGATAATGTTGTTTCCTTGAAAAAGAGAGCAATTAGATAAGCAATGTAAGAGCTACTTAACTTCTGATGTTCCCAGGTACAGTACAATTGTAGTGTCAGACTGCAATGGTTCATAAGAATTGTAGGCATTGATTTGCTGATAGAGAAATGTTCAGTACCCTGTATTAATTATTTCAGTATGTTGATTGTTGGCTGCCAAATTAAAAATACTCATACACTGGTTTAATTAAAAAAACATAACATATTAGCTTATCCTTTTTGTTTTCCAACATATGAATGCATATATATGTATGTATGTTTACATGGATCAATATATACACATATATACATGTAGATATGTTGTGAGACCTGTTTTTGTTGATGCCGTCTGGTTGTTTTTGTGGTTGAGTATGAAGTTAGTCATAAAATTGGGCCACAGTTACCTCTAGAAAATGGAAATTGTCTTACTCGCCAATTTAATACAGGTCTTGTTTAAAATAAACATCATTCATTTCTCCACTAAGCATTCCACTGCACTTTATGTGTTGTGCTTTTGTAAGCTGACAGATTTTTTTTGTGTTTCTAATGCTAGAATGTAAAATCTTTTGGTTCATAAACCATTTTTAGCATTATTATTACTTTATTTAGCACTGGTTTTGAAGAAATGAGAAGAGAAAAGGTCTAGATGGCACTGCTTGAGTCTTTTCCCCTGTTATTAAATTGCAGTAAAAAGAATTGTAACATTCCTTATGCAAACACATGGTTATGTTGCATGAGTTTTCAATTCTGAAATGCATTTCATACCTACTAGCAGTCATGTACAATATATATATACAGATTGAGATCAAAGTTTTCATGTAGACTGTGCATTTTAGAGTCAGAATTTGTCTATGAATTTCACGAAGATGAAAAACACCTTAATTGCTGGCTATTTGGTGGCTATTTATAATTAAAAGAAAAGCTATACATATGTATAAACTGATAGTAACACCATATGAGAATTACCACAACACACCTTTATGGTCCTTTGGTTTAACCACCGGACATCAAGCTGACTGGTCTCTCAAGACTTATTAGGTCTAGCACCCCTCCCTGCATTTGATGATTGCATTCTAATTTAACCACAGTAAACATACAGATTAAGAAGAATAAATTCTACATCTACTATTATTTCTGGAGACGATGAGTCAATTGTTTCTACTTATGTGGTTACTGAGTTCCAGTGCATGGTATTCACTCTTGGACATTAGTCCCATCTTTTTTCCTTTGCTTAAGTTCTTCTAAAATCAACAGCAGAAATGAATTCCTGGTCATATGATTTTTGAGGCTCATGATGCAAAGATGCTTTTCTCCACTTTGATCTAGACTGCTCTGATGACTTCCCAAAACATTCAAAATTTTGTTGTAACCATAAAAGACAATATCAAATATTTGTATGGCTTTTACAGTAAATGCACATAAGAGCCCACTTCTAGACTTGGGCTCTGAGTTGTTTCTAGAAAAGCCTTTTGAGAACGGCATTTTGGAATTGTGCCCCTGAGTTATCAATATGCTCCTTCTTGATATTTTCTACTCAAACTTTACCCCCTGGAAACAAGGGCCAGGCACTTTTATTAGTGTGATGCCCCAAAATGATCGCCTAGGAGAAACATGAGGAATCTCTATTCTGAGTCTATGGGAAGAACCTTGGTTAGATTCTGCCCAAAGATTATACTCAGACAGAAGGGTTCAAGTATGTATTTAAAGTATAAGAGCCAAGGTTCCCTACACTGGTGAAAAAAATACCATCTCATTTTGGGGCAAATTCAGAACGTTAAATGGTAAACCTTTTGTTGCTGCTCTCTGATAGTTGGAATGCAAGGGACATATTACTCCATCATATTGCAAGTTGCTGAATCATGAAGGGAAGAAAACATACATTTTATCCACAGGCAGATGCTGGCTACTATTCACAATTAGAAATGTTACTCTAAACAGAAGAGGGATTTTGGCTTGTTTTTAAAATAGATATAGCAAAGTCATCTTCCAGGAAAGTGTTCAATGAAATCAAACTTTAAGGAAAATTTGGCAATTCTCTCTTTTCTACGAGAAGAGCAAAATATGAGCCTCACATTGATAGGTATAAAATATATTAGCTTATACTCTTTACTCTCTAACATATGACTGCATATGTCCAATTAGTATAGAAAGAAGTACGATGACATAATTTAAAAATAGAATAAAAACATTACATCATGCCTGCCTGATTAACAGTTACATATTTTTCTGCAGTATCAACTGAGGCTAATAACATTCATCATGTTAATGTGGTTATGTTACTATCTTATTTTCCACTAGTTTTCGTATTTTCCTTGATTAGACATATTGCAACATACACAACAAAAGCTCCCTTAAAAAATCAAACCCAATGAATCCACAAATTAACTCTCCTTGTGCACATACTCTTTGAAGTATTGTTTGCTCTAAAAAATTAAAATGGCAAATTTCACTGCACATGAGAATATATGTTCACTAAATCTCCAAAGCCTTACTTTGTCTCTTCAAGTTGAAGAGGACCATGAATCTTTTAAAGCAATGAACAAATCCTTTTCTTGAAATCCTATTAAATTCTGAAACAAACTTATAGGGAAATGTTGCAGGGACATCTGACAGAGTTTGAGAAAAACAATCTGTTTATTAACTTTGCCTGTCCTCTAAATTTGTATATTTGAATGATACCCAGTCTAATTTGACCATCCAAGATACTTCTAATTTCTCTAACTTTAGTATTTTATGGTTGCCTTTTGGTTAAAGTATAAAAACCTCTTTAGGTATGCTGTCAAAAGCTTGTGAAGCTGGAAAAAAAAATCCGTCTTCCTCTACCCTTTGCCACTGGACACAGTATGTACAGACCAGATGCTGTGTGAAGCTGATAAGGGTCATGCTTGCTTGCTTATTTTAATTTTGCTGCTACAGTCTTTTCTGGATTTTCTACTGTGCTTTGTGTTGTTAACTCTTATTTTAACCACCTAGGACACAGCTTTTTAGCAAAAATTCCTTTGGCCACCATGCATGATAATATTTAGAAGTCTCCTTGTCTCTCAATGCCAAAATGAAAGACATCACAGTTGATTTCCTACGCTCAAGCAAAGAGATTGGCTAAATTGGTTTCCTGAGTTTCTATCTTGACTCCCTATATCCTGCTTCAACTACACAAGGATCTTTTAGAATCAGTGATGATTATCTTCCCATTACATTGTTATCATCTTAATAAGACAAGCATATACCATCTTCAAGTAATGTGTTTATGTGGCATTGCAGATAATGTTTCATAAGCACAATGCCATCTCAACAGCATGCCAACCTCAGAAATGAAGATGGGAGTTATCTGGCTACGACCACTTCTCAGGGAAATGACTGACAATGCTATTGAGCCTTCTAAGATTATCTTCTAAATAATTCCCCTCTAAGTAGGCTGCATACTAAACAGATAAAGTAGAACACTCAGACTCATTCTTGCCACCATGTGTACAAATCACTTGCATTTCAACTGGAAAACCACAAGGACCTTAGTATATTCATTCCTTAGCAGAAGCAACCGGAATGGCATGAAATGGACCACAGCATAGGCCAGCAACTAAGGTATTTTAGCATTACTTTTGTCCTGGATTGATGTGTTTTCCAAGTCCTACATCAGGCTGTACAACTGGTTTGAGGAGGAATCTAGTCCTTGCTTCCTGTGGGAGGCCATATTTTAGTTCACATAATAAAGCCAATAGACGATGTTGAAGAAGGAAAAAACTACTGGGAAGAATATGCGGGACCACCGATCTATGGCATTCACATCAGTCAAGTCGGGGATGGTGATTTTCAGTTGGGAGGCACGTCTTCTCAGGCGACTTTTCTTTTGTGCCACATGTCGTTCCAGAGCATTTCGGCCAAAACTATGCCTGGGCAACCCAGCTTTCCGATATTGGATGCTGGAGGCATCATAGGCCAGCATCGTGCTCCTGGGGTCTCCAAGTCCCATTACAGCCTCAGATGTGGCCATTTCGTTTTTTATCTCGAGAGTGCTCAGTAAGATGTTCTCATGTGGGTCCATCTGCAAAAGAAAAGAATAAAAAAAGACAATCAAAACAGTGGGGATTTGCTGGTGCTTACCATGCTAGACACTAAAGGTAATATTTATCATAGCGATGAAGAGAACTAGTTTTGCAATTACATTAACTTGAGTCTGAATTGAAGCTTTGCTACTATAAGCCATTTGAGGTTCAGTTTCCCCATCTACTAAATGATATAATAACTCAACCCTAGAGGATTGCTGTAATGATGAAATTATATAATAGACTATTGCTAGTATCATTCTCATTAGTTCTACTTAGGGCATGCAGGGAAATCAAGGGTGTGACACCCTGCGAAAGAATTTAGTCTTGATATGAACACATAAAAAATTAAACTACACTAGGTATGGAATAGTGTTAGGGAACTAATTATTGAATTGGGCATATAATAGTAGCCTAATTATAGATGAATTAATAACAAAAATATAACTAAAAATAGTGGGTAGCTAACAAGTACTTGCTATCTATGCCAGGTACTTTTTTGTATGACATCATCTAATTGATATCTCTTAAAACTCCCAGTTATGAGATGTCACCTTAAATTTGCAATGTCAATATAAATAGGGTAAAGGATTAGTTTTGAAGAATAAAATGCAGGACACATGTGACTTGCCAAAGTACATTAGAGTTCAAAATAACAATAGATCTGAATAAGTCTAGCAGCCAGACAGACTTGGTGGTGAAGATGTGACTGGAGAGGGAACTGATAAAAGGAAAGGAAGGGGACAGGACTAGAAAGGAAGAAAACAAGCCTAGAGTTGACTGTGTTCAACTGAATTCTGAGTCTCAGAGGAAAAATTAGTTGGCTCCGCAGACAGTCAGATCATTTCTCTTAGATAATTTCTTCCTGAAGTGCTAAAAGTAAGGGATAAATACTGACATCATGACTCTCAAACACTAAATTATGATATAATGCTTTATGCTAAGAAAGGAAGATTTGCATGCCTTATTTTTAAGAGGTGCCCATTGCTACATAATAAAACCTAGCCACAACAAATTTTTATTAATAGCAGCGTATATTTATTTTAGTGGAAATCAGAATGTACCAGTTGCCAGGAACATTTCTGAAAGTGTAAGAAAAAAATGGCTAATGATAGGCACTGATGATATATAGACAAGGTATATAACTAAACATTTAATTAGAAGATACAATGCTCTGAGCTTCATGAGTTATGCAAACGACAAAGAAGAATGTCCCTAAGATTATATTTTAACAATTGGCTTTCAAATGTAGTTTAGGGCCCTGCATTATAAATTCAATTCTAAAATCTTGAGGAATAGAAGCTATAAAGTATGCTGGACCATAATAATTGACTAATTAATCTCTGCCCAATGATCAGACTTTCCGATTTGTTTGTTTTATGATACTATTCTGCTTTGTAGAAACACTAAACAAATATATTATTGAAATTAGTTTTAAAAGTTTATAAGTTTTGGAAGTAAAACTAGATAAATATTGAAAGAACTCTGTCATGGAAAAGCCAAGTTACAGCTTTAATGATGACATTTTCTCCCTAGGGAAGAAAGGAAATTTTAAAGACTCCTGCTAGCAGCCAGTGCTTTGCAGCAATGGTTTCACTGAATGTTCACACCCATCCTTGGAACAGGCTCTTTTCCCCACCTAGGTTATGGGTGAGGACATTGCCAAATTTCCCAAAGTCACACAGTTACTAAATGGTGGAGCTGGAATTTAAACCTTGATCATTCTTACAATAAAACTGCTGAGGAAGGGAGAATCTTTCCAACACTCAAGGAACATGAAGTCCATGGAGATGGGAAACATATAACTCCTTTTCTTTCAATAGTGTGCTTATTTTCCATTCCTTTCTGGGTTGTTGACTCTTTCTTTAGCCACCAAGAATAGCTTTTTAGCAAAATTTCTTCAGCCAGTATGCATGAGGATATTCCGGAATTTCCCCTATCGTAACACCTGGACGTGTTTTTCTATTGAGCAATTATAATAAGAACAGTGGTGAGTTGATACTAGACCTTTCTGTGTTAAAAATATAAAACAATAGTGACAACCGCAATAAAAAGTCTACCGGCAACAATGGACTACTATTAAGGGAAACCTGTTCTAAATTTAAAACAAATTATCTTTGAATAATTCATTTAATCTTAGGGCGTTTCTGTTTCATAATTGATATTCAGGAGTTGGATTAGATAATTCCTAAAGTCCTATTATTTATTCTGTTTTTCATTTATTCATTAAAATTTTTTATGATTGAACACTCACTGTGTGTCTGGCCCTGTGCCAAGTATTATAGACACTATTGTGAGGAAGACAGAATTGCTGCTGGGTCCTCATGGTGGTAACAGTCTTCAGAAAGAATATTGGGTTTTAAATCAAAAGATTGTAGCTCTGGCTCTTCTATTTGTTATTTTTGACCTGGGAAAATTACTTAAGCTCTATGAATCTAGGTTTCTTCTGGGGTCTAACAATAGGATTTGAGGAGATAAATAATAAATGTGAGAAGAATTTGGGAAACTAAAGCACTAGGAAAAGTTGATTGTTATGACATGCTGTACATGAATCAGGATATTTATAGGTTCCAGTGACATGGAGAAAAAAAAAAAGCATGCCTAAAAGAAAAAAAAAATGCTGCCCTTATGGGCGATGAGTTTTCTCTAGGTAAAACTAGTCACCTCAACCTTACTGAGGATCCTGAAAGGCTGAGGTGGAGGGTGGTGGTGGTGGGTGAGCTTAATTGAACACCTATATCAACTATCAACAGATGAAGTGCTGCTACTCCTTGACATCTCTCACATCATTAGAATACTTCAACCCTAAAATATGACTGCTTATGGCCGGGCTCAGGGGCTCAGCCTGTAATCCCAGCACTTTGGGAGGCCAAGGTAAGTGGATTGCCTGAGCCTGCGAGTTCGAGACCAGCCCGGGCAACATTTTCTCTACAATAAATAAAAAATTAGCCAAGTGTGGTAGTGCATGCCTGTAGTTCTATTTACTTGGAAGGCTGAGGTGGAAGAATCACCAGAGCCCAGCAGGGTGACGCTGAGGTGTCCATGAGTATGCCCTGCATTCCAGCCTGGGCAACGAAGTGAGACTCTCCAACTCAAAAAAAAATAAAATAAAAAATGACTGCTTCTATAAACTTAATTAAGGCTTAATAATCAACAAATAAATTAACTTCAACAACAACAACAACAAATTTTCTAAAAATTCCTACCCATTACCATGAAGCTGTGAAGAGTAGAGGTATTAAGCATGCCCATCTTTATTTGTAATTTCGTGTTTCTAGTGTATCTCTGTTTACAGAGACTTGGAGGAGACCATAGCAGTTTGTAGTTTATTAGACTGCACAGCAGGGTTAAGTGCTAAGATCACCAGTTACCCATCTTGATCTCCTTTGAAGGACCGGTTTTCTCCACTATTTTTCTTCATGTTTTCTATAAAGCCTTCCATATATGCCAACCTCTTTGCTCCACTCCTCAGAAACTAACTGAATTCCTCTCCTGATACCATACTAAAATGTCCACTTACCCTACTCTTTGGATCACCAAGATTGAGCTATTACATTTTTTGTTTTTGTTTTTGATCTGGAATGGCTTAATCAACACGTGGAAGTGTGCATGTTTTCTATTAAGAGGTGATATACAGTGTTTCCAAGTTCTGATTCTGGACTCAGAAAATCTAAGTTTTGATTCTGGGATGAGGAACTAACTAGCTTTCGGTTCTTGATCAAATCATTAAACCTATCTGAGCTTAGTTTTCTTATATGTAAAGTGGGGAAAATATCAATACCAGGCTCCTAGGGTTGTTTAATAGTATCAAATAATAGCCTATGCAAAGCACACAGCCCAGCTTTGCACATAGCAAGCACTCCAAACATTATAACTGATCTTGTTATAAAAATTCAATAAATATTCATTAAATGAATACATTTGATCTTCTACTGTCATTCACTTATATACTTTAATTTAAAAAAAAACTTAAGTTTAGAGACAAGGTCTTGCTATTTTGGCCAGGCTAGGGTGCAGTGGCTGTTTACATGTGTGATCATGGTACACTACAGCCTCAAACTCCTGGGCTCAAAAGATCCTCCTTCCTCAGGCTCCCAAGTAGCTGAAACTACAAGCATGTGCTACTGTGCTCAGCTTTGCCATTTAAAAAAATGGCATGGACTGGATAAATAAAACAAAACTTTGAAATTATCATATATTTTAATTTTCCTTTGGTGGATAGCTTCTGTAAAGTCCTGGGAACAATGCTTAGTACAAGGCAAACATTCTCCTGACTACGGAGGAAAATAGAGCCCATAGGACAGGACGAAACAGAGAGATGCACACACTGCTGATGTGGCAGAGCAGGGAATGCCTGGCTCATCTTTCCTCATAAGACTTTGATAGTTCACTATAATGCTGGCCATGGGCAACTACAATAATCTGTTTCATATCTGTCTTCCCCCAGACTATACTTCTTGATGAGGACAGGCACACGGTCTTTCTCATTCATTGTTATATCCCCAAACATCTGGCATGGTACCTGACAAGTAGTGGGTCTTCAATAAATAAACATTGATAGAACAAATTAATTTTGTTACTCTTAGTAACACATTTCACCTCTTAGTGAGTCATCGATAAGATGAATTTAATTTTGCAACACCTATCTGAAGATTGCAACTTCATGGGACCACTTCTTGAGTTCCTTTCCTATTGTAAAGTTTGGGTCTCCAAAAGGGTTTCTTTCTAGAGCAGCATGCTCAGGTTCCTGAGATCTGGAAATTATATTTCCCATGGTGCCATTTCCAAAAACGATGCCCATTCTTCACTCAGAGAAAGGAACTTAGAGAGTAGAAAGTAGATGTCAGGACTGAGCATTTTACACATTGACCCTTTCAGCTATCCCAGTAACTGTCCTGGGCAGGTAACTAATGTCACCATTCTCAGTTTTTGTGTCTTTGGGGTGGATGTAAGTCATTTAGAGCAATTCTGCCACCGTGAGTGGCTCAGTGGTGGGCAC